GGGGGGGGGGTTAGACAATGGGGTTAAGTGACTTGCCCAGGGTCACACAGCTAGTAAGTGTTATGTCTCTGAGGTCAGATTTGAACTCAGGTCCTCCTGAATCTGGGGCCGGTGCTCTATCCGCCACATCACCTAGCTGCCCCCAAATGGAAGAGTAGGAAAGAAAATACTGTACCCGAGGAGACAGAAGGAGGTTGAAGCTAGGTTGGGAAGGTCTTTGGAATGCCTCGGAGAGGAGTTTATGTTTAATCCTAGAGCTATGGGGAACCACTAGTGTTTATTGAGTTGGGAAGTGCCGTGGTCAGTCTGTGCTTTAGCAAGATCACCTCGGTGGCTGAGGGAAGGGTCAGTTGGAGAGGAGAGAGATTAGAGGCAAGAAAACCAGTCAGGAAGAAGTCGCTTGGAGTCCTGAACTGGGTGGTGATTGTGTGAGTGGAGGGGACAGATACAACGTGACTTACAAATCAAACAGTCTGTGGAATATCCATTTCCCCAGAAATCAAAAATTTGAGGAATGAAAAATATACCTGGAGAAAGGCCTGTTCACTAAATGATTCAGAGAGCACATTTGGTCCTGTAATTTTATATGATTTTCCTGAGCCTTAAGGCACCCAGTAATCTATAAGTTGGGAAAGGTGTGGTCAGATAACTGAATTGTTATGTTTTATTTGATTCACATGAATTGATTATTACTATGAATTATTGATCTGGGGGTCTTAGATAACTACAAACGGATGTGGTTTTTTTTTTTTTGTTTGTTTGCTTTTTTTTTTTTTTTTTTTTTTTTTTTTGGTAAGCACAGCTAGTAAGTGTCAAGGGTCTGAGACCAGATTTGAATTCAGGTCCTTCTGACTCCAAGGCCAGAGCTGTATCCTCTGTGCCACGTAGCTGCCTCTGATGTGCAATTACAAGTTGTATTACAAGAGGTCTGTTATCCAGAGTAAGAGAAATGGTTGCCTCTACCACCATCTTCCTTGGTCAGACCAAATCTAAATTTTCATATTAAAATCTAAGCACCAGTATTTTTTAATTTATTTAGTTTTCCAAAATCAATCTGAGTGAATGCTGAGTGAAGATTAAAGCATATTTTTTTCACTTTACTTTCTTTGCTTTTTTAATGCAAAATGGCTGATGTGGAAATATTTTTTACACAATTTGATGTGTATAATGGCTATTGTATTTCTTATCTTCTCGGTGGGTAGGGGAAGTGGTGGTGGGGAGGAGGAGGGAGAGAGAGAATCTGAACTGAAAATGAATTTTTTTTAATTTAAAAAAATCAAAGAATAAACCCCCTCAAAAGTGACAAAGCACCATAATGGAATATTATTGTGTCATAAGAAATAAAGAATATTGATTATTCAGAGAAGTAAGGAAGAAGGAAGTGGGATAAGGAAAACAATACGCACAGTGACACGAACAGTATAACTACAAAGATCGACAGCAATAAAGAACTGAATGCCGTGTAATTATAATGGTCAAGCTTGGTCCCAAAGGAGACATGAAAAAAAATGCCTCATATGCTTCTCTTCCTCCTTTACAGAGATGAGAGACTCTTGGGGTAGAGCATTGCATTTCACTTTATTGCATCGTGGTCAGTTAGGGATGTGTTAAATATTGCTGTTTTTCCTCAGTTGTTTACGAAATTTTTATGCCCTACTATATGGTCAGTTTTTGTTAAGGTGCCATGTACATCTGAAAAATGCATACTCCTTTCTATCCCCATTCAATCATCACCAGAGATGTGTCATGTTGAAGTTGGAGAATTCTGTTCAGTTCCTTCACTTTACTTATCTTTTGGTTAGATTTGTCTAGGTCTAAAAGGGATACAATTGTTGAGACCCTCGACTGTTACAGTTTTCTTATATGGTCACCTTTTCTGAGATGATGACTTCCCTCCTTCCTCTTAACCTTAACCTTAGCTGTGGCTCGAGCTTTTTGTATTTCTCAAATTCTGCCTTGAGTTACGCTTTCTCCATCTTTTTGAGGGCAGGGGCTCTTTTGTACTCTCTCTCATCATGCCTGGTTATAAACGTATGGAACTTTTTCATTGCTATTTTCAAGTGAAACCAGGAAAGCAGGAATTGGATTGCCCAGAACTGGTAGTCCCCCCCCCCCCCACTTTGTTTACCCTAATGCCTGGCATCATATTTGATCCAGGGTAGGTAATTAATAATGTATTGATTGATTTAGGAATTAGAGATACTTTAGTGCAAATTTCCTTGTATTTATCTTGCAAATATTTTGTATTGACTTCTCTGTGTCCTTGTTGTCTCCCCACAGTGGAATGAAAACTCCTTGAAGGCAGGGAATGTTTCATTTTTGTTGTTGCTTTCCCAGGGCCTAGCACAGCAGGTGGCACACAACAGGGGCTTAATAAATGGTTTTTTTAATTGAATCATGACATGGTGAAGTAGATTTGGAGCCACAGGACTAGGATCCAGTTGCTGGCTTGGAGGCATAGACCTGAACAGCATGCGTACTCCTCTGTCAGGTAGGGAGATTGGGCCAGGCGACCTCTGAAATCTGTGACCTTGTAATCATGTCACCCAGCCTCCTCACTTCACAGATGAGCAGACTGAGGCCTAGAGAAGAGAAATCATTTGGCCAATGGCACAGCAGTACCCAGCGGGCTGGCAGTCAAACTCTGGTCCTCTGATGTCCGATGCAGAGTGCTTTGCCGGTGCCTCAGGCATGTTTTCAGACCCTTCCAAATCTAACCATCCCTGGCTCAATGCCAGGGGCCCTCGGGGCGCCCCCGGAGAGGACCGCTAGCCCGGGTGACCCGTGTTCACAGGTGCGTCTCTTCCTCCCTCCCAGGTACCAGGTGTGTGATGGCGGCTATGCTTTGTCTTGTGGGTATTGATACAATCTTCGGCAGTGGCTGCTGGTTTCGTGAGCTGTTTTTTAAGACTGCAGCTTACTGGTGAGTATGCGGAGTGACCAGCCAGACTGCTCCAAAGGTGATGAGAGACCGTTACGTGATGAGGACTGACTCCCTTCACACAGCACTGCACTTGGTGAAAAGGATGCACATCCTGCCTCCAGTGTTTCCCAGCAGGACATTTAACAGCTGCTAGCCTCAGTGTCCTCATCTGTAAAATGGGGATAATAACAGCCCCACCCTCATAGGATTGTTACATGGCTAAAACGAGATGGTATTTGTAAAGTTCTTTGGCAACCTTGAAGTGATATATAAATGCTGTTACTATTATTAAGACTTCAATTGAATCCTGCCTCAGACGCTTACTAGCTATGTGACTCTGGGCGAGTCATTTGTCTCCTCTCAGTCTGTTTCCTCTCCTGTCAACCCTCCCTCCCAGGGATGCTGTGCGGTTTAGCTGCAATGAGGGAGCACCGACTGTCTACGTTACACTTGTTTTCTTTATCTGGTAGACTGAAGATCAGGCCTTGTCCCTAACTGCACTGAGTAGAGTGCTGGTCCCCAGCCAGCCTGCCGTGGTGAGCATCCTGGGCTTTTCCCATTACAAGGACAGCTACCCCTTGCTCTCCACAGCCACGGGGCTCCTGGTGGCCACGGCTCCTTGGGCCATGTGCTTCACTAAGGTCCACAAAGAAGCTGATACACGGTCTCTTATTTGATCCTCACACCCACCTGGGAGGTTGGGACTCTGGCTATCATCCCCGTTTTCACAGGTCACAAAACGTGAGGTGGGGGGAGGCAAGCGATTTGCTCAGGGCCATACAACCTAGTGGTTTTTCTTTTTCGGTTCTGCTCAAAATTCGGGCCTGTCCCTATGTTTTTGGATCGTGACCGTGCCATCCACCGTAAGCTCTCCCTCCCCGCATCACACAACTCTGCCGGTGTGATAAGCCTTCCCCCGGTGCCTTCATTGAAGTCATCAATGACCGTGTGGAGCGGCCTGGGGCCAAGCACAGATCCCTGGGGCACTCCACCAGAGACCTCCCTCCAAGCAGCTACGTCATGGAGCCATCGCCAGCAGCTCTTTGGGTCCAAACATTCAGACAGTTCAAGCCCACCCACCCGACCACACTTTGTTCAGGCCTCAGCTTCCTCAGGCTTTGTTATACTCTTTACTAAAATTCTAGTTAGATAATTCCCTACAGCACCTTGCTAAATTTGCCGTTATAGTTACCCTGGAGGCGATGGAAGTGAGGCCAGTCGTGCCTGAGGCTGCCGGCCTCCCTTTCAGAGATGGGGTAAGCCTCCCCCCTAAAGCCATCCCCACCTGCCTATCATCTGCCGCCTAACTAGGATCAGAAGCCATGCTCTGGGCCTGTGCTGTGTCTCCCACCCTTCCCGTTCTTTCACAGGTCACGGATAGCACGTGGGCTGATTGTGTCCTCTTTCCACATTCCCTCCTGTGGGGTGGGTGTTCAGGGAGCAGGCGCAGAAGGGAGAAGATTCCCTGTTCACTCTTTGCCAGAAGGGAATGCATTCCAAAACACATCGGTGGAGAAGACAGGGACAGCAAGCCACTGCAGTGCCTCAGGCCTCAGTTTCCTCTTCTGTAAAACAAAAGGGTCTGCTAAAATGAGCGCTGGGCCAGACGGCAGCTGGGGTCCCCTTGTACTCTGTGAATCTTTTTTTCTCTCTTAATTTGTTTTTGTGAGGCAGACGGGGTTAAGTGACTTGCCCGGGATCGCACAGCTAGTGTCTGAGGCCGGATTTGAACTCGGGTCCTCCTGACCCCAAACCCCAGGGAAGCCATGACTTTCAGAAGACTAGATGAAGAAACAAAACCTCTTCCCCCTAGAGAAGAGCAGAGGGTGTCTTCACGTATCTAACATTCCCTGATGTGGAAGGGGGTCGCTGTATTGACCTGAGTGAAGAAACGTCCCAAGCGATAGGTGCTTGCCGTGAGAGCCCTCCAGACATGGAGCAGAGGGACCCGTCCGTACCACGTTACCCTTTCTACCTGCCTCGGAGTCCTGTGCGACAGGCAAGTGACAGAGCAGCAGGTGCGGATGCGCTGGGAGCTGCCGTCACCACCCTGCCCTGCACACGAGCGGCCCAGGCCACAGGGACGTCCGGGTGTCTGCGCAGCCTTTGTGAAAGGCCTCACTGCTTACCTCCCAGCGTGAGGAAGGGGCTAGAAAAGGCTCCCTAAAAACTGTCTGCTGCGCCCAACCCTGGCAGGTGGGGATCCCACCCTGCCCTTGAAACAAAATGTCCAAAAGACGATTCCACTCATCCCCAGCACGCGGAATGTGTGTGCTCGTATGGACAGTGTGAAATCCCGTAGAACTGAAGGATGCTAGAGAGCTCGGCAGGTATAACATCCAGGTATGGCAGCCCTGAGAGAGACAAGGCTGGCAAATGAAGGCCAGCGTAGGGAAGTCGGAGCTGATGGACGTGTCCTGGAGTGGTCATTCGGAGCGATGGGGAGCACCCGTGAAGAGGGTGTTGAATCTGCAGTCAACACCATTCTACTCGTCAAGCTTGTATGTCTCCTAGGAGTGAATGGCAGGCTCATGACAATGCAATTGCCACTCGCAGGAAAGCAACATGCCACCATCATCGGTGCCTGTGCTCCCTCCATGACAACAAACTCTGAGGGCAAAGAAAAATTTTATGAGACCTGGAGACCCTTATCATCAGTGAGCTGAAGGAGGACAAGCTCATAATTCTGGGTGACTTTAATGCTAGAGTAGGCTCAGACCACCAGACGTGGCAGGGAGTCCTGGGAGGAATGGAGTTGGAAACAGCAATGGTCACTTTAGAAGACTTGTGCATCCCCAACACTGTCTTGTTTACCTGAACGCCATAACTTCATGGATGCATCCTCGCTGCAAACATTTGCATTTAATAGACTATGTTATTGTAAGAAGAGACAGACAGGATGTGAGAGGGACGAAGGCAGTGTGTGGTGCAGAATGCTGGGCTGATCATGGACGTTCTTTTGAAGCTAAATATTCACATTCAACAAAAGCAGCGGCCTCAAGGCGAAATGACTACCAGAAAACTTAATGCCAACAGATTAGAGCAGAAAAGGAGTGGGCGGCTTTCAGAGATTTGGTGTACAGCACTGCATTGGCTCATCTGGGTCAGAACACTCACAAACATCAAGACTGGTTTGATGAAAATGATGGGGAAATTCAGAAGCTGTTAAATGAAAAACGAGAACTCCACAAAGTTTACCAGGAGGATAGGTCATCCATCTCTAAGAAGATAGCATTTAATTCCATCAAAAGTAAAGTACAAGAGAAGCTTAGAGAGAAGCAGGATTCTTGACTCAGTAAGAAGGCAGATGAAATTCAGCTTTATGCTGATGGTAACAATGCAAAGCGCTTTTATGATGCCCTGAAGGCTATTTATGGGCCAAAGACCTACGGTGCATCCCAACTCCTCGGCGCTGATGGAGCCACGTTGATTAGGGATAAGGGCATGCTCTTGGAGAGATGGACTGAACACTTCCATGGTGTTCTCAGCAGACCGTCATCCATCGATGCTGAAGCCACTGACCGTTTACCTCGGGGTGAAGTCAGTCCCTCCCCAGCTGAAGTTCCAACTGAAGAGCAGGTATTGAATGGCATTAGTGGCAAAGCCCCTGGTGCTGGTTCTATTCGAGGCGAGATTCACGAGGCGGGGGGGTCCCTGTAACCCTCCTCTGGGCTGCATGCCAAGAGGAGGTTATCCCCCAGGAGTTCAGGAAATAGATTGTCTCGGGACAGTCAGAAGGGGGTGGTGTCTCTCTTCGTCACTGCTGGCAAGATCTTGCTAGAGTCCTCCTTAATAGGCCGATTCTTTGCCTGGGAAGATGGTCAGTGTGCTTCAAGAAGAGAGCCAGTGTGGCTTCAGAGAGGGCCGCGGAATGGTCGAGGTGGCGTCTGCTGCCCAGTAACTCCAGGAGGAATGCCAGGAGCAGAACAGAGTCTGTACACGACATTTGTCAATCCTTCGATACCGTCAGTTGTGAGGGCTTGTGGAAAATCATGGCGAAATGTGGTTGCCTGCAGAAGTTCATCAGCATTGTCTGTCAGTTTTATGGCAGCGTGCTTGCCCGGCTTCTGGACATCGGACGGTGCTCTCGCTTTCTCAGGCACCAGTGGAGAGCAGCAGGACGGTGCGCTTGCTCCTGTGCTTTCTAACGTGTTGTTTTCAGTAGTGTTGTCAGATGCCTTCGACAAGGGTGAAAATAGCATCAGGGTCAGCTGCTGCACTGACTGTAGAATTATTTAACTTGAAAAGGCTGCGAGCCAAGACCAAAGTGAAGGGAGAGTCAGCGGCGCGTGAGTTTTTTTGTTTGTAAATGACTGTGCATTCAATGCAGCCTCCGAAGCTGAGATGCAACAAAGTATGGATCCGTTCTCTGTAGCTTGTGCTAATTCTGGCTTAACAGTTAACACCAGGACAATACAGGTTGTCTGCTAGCCAGCGCCATACCATCCATGAGTGAAATCACTGGTTACAGCAAATGGAGACGTTTTGAGTGCCGTGGGTAGTAAGTTCACTTACCTCGGCGGTGTACTTTCCTGGGATATACACGCGTATGATGAGATTGATTCACACACTGCCAGAGCTTGCTCAGCGTTTGGGAGGCTCCAGAGGAATGCATAGGAGAGAAGAGCTATTAGACTGCCTACCAAACCAAAGGTCTACAGAGCCGTCGTGCTGACCTCATTGTCGTGTGCCTGTGAAACCTGGACCGTCTACCAGCGCCATGCCAGGAAATGGAATTGATTCCATTTGAGTTGTCTTAGGAAGATTCTGAAGATCACCCGGCGAGATAAGGGACCAGACACCGAGGTCCTTCTTGACCTAAACTGCCAAGCATTCAGGCTCTGCTGTAGAGAGCACAGCTCTGAGGGCCTGGCCACGTCGTCTGAACGCCAAACGTCCGCTTGCCTAAAAGACTGTTTTACAGAGAACTCACACAAGGCAGGCGCTCACATGGAGGTCAGAAGAAACAATATGAGGAATCGATTGTGAGACCCGGGAGACGCTGGCACAGCACCCACCTGCACGGCGTGCCCGCATCAGAGAAGGCGCTGTGCTCTCCGGTGAAGCAGAATTGCAGAGGCCCAAAAGAGAAGTGAGATGCACAGACCTAGAGACATCTCCACTCCAAATGGTCGTATGGACCGGTACCCGCCCCGAGTTAGAGGCTTCAAGCGCCTCCTGGTCAGATCAGCCACGGTCAGACACGGACGCACCGTACCTGGACTTCAGCACAGGGACGTCCTTGTGGTCCTCTGAGAACGAAGGACAACCACGGCTGTCACTGTGCATCTTCCTTGTTTAGAGCTTTTGGAGAGAAGGCACTCTTGTCTTTGTGTCCCAGTGTTTAGCACGGTGCCTGGCAAATACCAGGCACTTAATAAATGCACATTGACTGACTGATACACGTGCAGTCCTTGTATACATACTCTTTTCCTGATTCTTTACGGGCAGCTGAGTGCCACAGTGGATAGCCTGCTGGACTAGGAGGCAGGAAGATCTCAGTTCAAATCCAGTTACAGACTCTTAATAGCTGTGTGGCCCTGTGATGTTCAATTTTATATTTTCCTTTATTCCGATGATTTGTTTTCATGTATTAATGCATTCATCTCCTAACTTCTTAAGCTGTAAATGAAACTTAAAATTTTTTTCCCTAATAATAGCATCCTGTGATATAAATTTGCCTCTAATTACTGTTTTGGCTGCATACTGTATAATTTGATGTCGTCATCTCTCCTGTTTGTTATCGTTCCTGTAATTTAAGAGCTAACATTTCTCGCAGTCAGCATTTATATATAGCGTTTTAAGGTCTGCAGAGAGCTTTATAAATATGATTTCGTTGGGTCCTCACAATCACCCTGGGAAGTCGGTGCCATTATCATCCCCGTTCTACAGATGAGGACACTGAGGCTGATTTCAGTGACTTGCCCACTGCCGTGCAGTGTCGATGGAGGATATGGATGCAGGTCTTCCTGATTCCTACCCTGCCTGGCGTTCTATCCTATCTGTCATGTGGTCCCTTGAGCCCTTAACCTTGTTTTCTGATCGCACGACACCACGAAGGAAAGATGGAGCAAGTAGGTCATAAGTCTTGGCTGATTTCTTTTCTTCCATCATATTCCCCTCTACTGAGCCGTGCCTTATAACGAGGATTTTTTTAAAAAGAGATTTTCAACAAAAAACGACCAACACATTGACCCTCTAAACAGGGTGTGCCCTGTGCCCCTCCCCTGACTTCCACCGCTTCCAGGAAAGGACAGGGAGGTGGGTGTTCTCCTGTCTGGTGGGCCATCAGAAGACAACAAGGTCCTGCTCCAGTCTTTCCATTTACATTGCTGTAGTCGCTGTATTCAGTGTTTCGCTTGCTGCCCTGCTCCCTTCATGGCTCGTCGGAATCCTTCACGGTTGAGAGTTGGAGGGGACCTCAGCAACCGGCCCAGTCGCCCAGGAAGCCCCACTGGAACGTCCTCAACCAGGAGGCAAGCGAAGTCGAAGTGGGAGGGGGCCCCACCGGCTTCTGTCTTGCGTACACCGTGTTTGTACATGGACGTTTGCTCGTCTCCCCCGTCGGAACGGAAGCTTCTTGAGGACGAGGCCTGTGTTTTTGCCTTTCTTTGTATCCCTGGCACACAAGAGGCCCCTAATCAGTGTTTGACTTAGACTGTCCCGGAGTATATGGAACGGGATCTCCGGATCAATGGATGTGAATATTTTGCAGAATTCCAAATTGGAATGTTTTGAACTCAATTATTCCGATCTTGTTTTCTTCCCAACTAGGTTTGAATCTAGGTTGGGACTGGCCAAACTGCCCAGTGGGAACGATAATATCGTCTGCCTTCGCCACGAGACGGGCCAAGCGTGTGGCAGGTGGCGGGAGGCGGGGGCGAGGAGGAGGGGGCCGCCTCCTAACCCAGTTCTTCCTTTTCTGTTTCAGGCTTGAATGAAGCATCACCTGGTTTAATTCCTCCAAGACTTTGCCACAGCCTCTATCACACATCTGTACTTGTCGAAGAAAAAGTATAATAATAAATAAACATGTTTTTTCTCTTTTACACTGTATAATATAAGAAATAGTGTTTCTGTGAATGCGTGGCCTGCCATCCGTTGCTGGACTCTGAACGAAGTTTTAAACATCACGTAAACACGCAGCAGGAGAGCGTCCTTCACGCTGATCGTCGTAAGGCCGCCTGGACAAGCATACACTGGGTTGGATCACAGTTTTTGTGTTTGACGCTTGAACACTTAGAATTAAAATTTCTGTTTGTGCCCCTCTTAAGCCGCGTGTTTGGGGAATTTATAAAAATCGTATCAGCTCTTTTGTATGGTGAGTTTATGTATTTTTGTCGCTCTGGTTTGAGTCTTGGGGAAGGTCCCACATGGTGTGCGTGTCAGACCCAAAGTTGTAGGGAGTTGGGGAGTTAGCTTTTAACTCCCAGTTCTGCTAGCTGATTTAGGCCAGACAGTCTGGATCGTTGGCCAGGGAAGCTTCTTTTCTTGGTACGTTCACAGCCAGACGAGCCGATGTTTCTGGGTCTCAGCCCCATAGCTAGGGAGTTGTGCCAGTACCAAGCCACAGGGTCGTTCCAGACTGGGTGGGTCGTTATCATCCCCCTTACGGAGGCACACCCAGGGGAAGGGAAGAGCCCTTCATTCTCTTGCAGTCAGAAACCTTGGCTGACCCAGGCCTCTCAGTGCCCTGCACCGGGTTCTGCAAACATTAGGCCAGGTTTCTGGATCTTTGGCAGCCCGAACCAAACATAATCCTGTTTTCTATTCATGAGAAAATGCCAGCCCAGCACAGAAGGCGCTGGTGTGAACCCTGTGGAGCGCCACGTCTCGAGAGAGACCTCCTCAGAACCAGTCGTGACTCTGCTTTTGGTCCTAAGTTTGTTTGAGCAGCTTGTCTGATACTTTAGAGGCTAATAAACATGTTCACCATTTTATCACAGCTGTGTTCACACTTGTTTGTTGTCGGGTTTGTTTTGCTTTTTTTTTCCTCCTAGCACAGAGTTCTGGAAGGAAGGGTGGGGAATTATAAGAACAGTGATAAAGTCAAGAAACCCAAGGTTTCTAAAGTCACAAAAAGTGCAGTGGGGAAGGGCAACAAGGTGGAGGGTAGCCTTCCTATTGTTAAAGGAAAACCTCAAACCAAGGACACCTCATGTGTCATACTGCTCAGAAAAGACTTTCTGGATGGATCAATGGCTCGTGAGTCAGAAGCCTGCCTCCTTGGGAAGCTGGCTGTCTGGGCTCTTTATCCTTAATAGGAAAATGGAGCTGTTGCCCCTGGCTTGTTACACTTTCTTTAAAGAATTTCTGAAGGTATTTTTCTATTGTGACTTTTTAAGATATAGTTTTGCTTCTAGCTGTCACACTGTTGCCCTGGCACATTCTTTTCGCATAGGAAGACACTGCAAGGTACCCTGCATTGTGGACTACGGGTCAGCAAACCTTTGAGTGCTAAGGAAGGATTGGTTATGCCAATGGGCATGTGTCAGGCACCCGGGGGAGGGGGGAACAGAATGGAAAAAGGGGAAACAATAGCTAGAGAGTCAGTGCTCCTGAAAGCTGTCAGGCTGTGGCCACTAGGAGATCCCCTCTGGGTTGGACCAGAGCACCCCATCACCTCCATGTTCTGTCTTGGCTGATCCTCAGAACCTGGCAGCTCGGCAGTGCAAGGGTTAGAAGAGAAAATGCAGCAGGGAAAGGTTAAGTAATGTCGCCGAGGTCCCACAGCCCAGCTGGTGAGTCCGCTGCCTCTTCTGCCATCTACTATGGTTGCTAACCTAGCATCTGTGAACTTAAAAAAAAAATTGGGGTAGTTCAACATAATTGGTTTCCTTTGTGACCCTATTTATTGTTTTACACATTTAAAAAACATTATTCTGAGAAGGGCTCCATGAGCTTCAGACCCCATCAGGAGTCCATGATGAAAAAGGTTCGTCCCTAACATACTCGCTCTGAAAGTGAAGATTCCCCAACTGATCAATGGTCAAAGAATATGAACAGGCAGTTTTCAAAAGAAGAAATTAGGGGGCATGTAGGTGGCGCAGTGGATAGAGCACTGGCCCTGAAGTCAGGAGGACTTGAGTTCAAATCTGGTCTCAGTCCAAACACTTGACACTTACTGGGCAAGTCACTTAACCCCAATTGCCTAAAAATAAAAATAAATAAAAATAAAAATATCTATAGTTATATGAAAAAATGCTCTAAATCACTATTGATTAAATGCAAATTAAAGCAGTTTGGAGGTACTACCTCACACCTATCAGATTGGCTAATATAACAGAAAAGGAAAATGATAAATGTTGGAGAAGATGTGGGAAAATTGGAACACTGATGCATTATTGGTGGAGTTGTGAACTGATCCGACCATTCTGGAGAGCAATTTGGAACTAGGCCCAAAGGGCTATGAAACTGTGCATACCCTTTGACCCATCAACGCCACTTCTAGGTCTGTATCCCAAAGAGATCATAAAAATGGGAAAAGGACTCACGTGTACAAGAATATTTATAGCAGTTCTTTTTGTGGTAGCAAAGAATTGGAAACTGAGGGGAATGTTAGGGAATGGCTGAACAAGTTGTGGTATATGAATGTCATGGAATACTATTGTGCTATAAGAAATGATGAACAGGCAGACTTCAGAAAAACCTGGAAAGACTTGCATGGACTGATGCTGAGTGAAGTGAGCAGAACCAGGAGAACATTGTACACAGTGACTGCCAGGTTGTGCGATGACTGACGTTGATAGACTTGGCTCTTCTCAGCAATGCAAGGATCTAAGACATCTCCAAAGGCCTCATGATGGAAAATACTGTCCACATCCAGAGAAAGAACTGTGCCATCTGAATGCAGATCGAAGCATACTATTTTCACTTTTTTGTTGTTTTTTCTTTCTTATGGTTTTCCCCTTTTGTTCTGATTCTTCCTTCACAACATGACTAATGTGGAAATGATACATGATTGTACATGTATAAACTATATCAGATTGCTTGCTGTGTTGGGGAAGGGGGAGGGGAGGGAGGGAGAAAAATTTGGAACTTAAAATCTTATAAAAATAAATGTTAAAAACTATCTTTACATGTAATTGAAAAAAATAAAATGCTATTAAGTGAAAAAAAAGTTTTAAGTAAAAAAAGAAAGTGAAAGGATTGCCAGCTGGGCCATCAGAAGCCCAAAGATGCCTCACTACTGGCTGCGATGCCTCCTTGGCACACTGAGCCAACCCGGTCTGGCCTGGCACGGGCTCACCCACATCTGTGCAATGAGGTTTCCATCTATTTATGGGCATCAGAAGGAATTCCACTTGGTCAGACAAACATGAGACTCACTCTCTTCCTTTTCACAGATGAGGCCTGAAGTCCTCGACACCTGTTTTTTTGCTGGTAGTCACTGCAAAGAGGTTCTGCAAACACAGGGCTAGGTATTCTCTTGGACCAGATGTCTGCCCTGCCCTCCAGGCTCATTCCAGAAGTTCTCTGGGCCGGTGGGCATATCTGGAAAGACCAATCTGCCACATTGGGTGCTGCTCGGTTCACTTGGAGAGCAGCACACAACTCAGTCCTGGTGGCCTGGGACCCTGCCCTGTCCTCGCACAGGGACCCCCCAGCTAAGTCTGCTGTACATGTGCTCCCCATCGTCAGCTCATGGCCTTGCATGGAGTCACCAGTGAAAATCCCTGAGCTGTAGCCAGAGTGCACAACTATATACTATAGATGCATATTCTCAGACCTATCCCCAGAAGGAATGTTCTGGGAGCTTGGGAGGGGCGTCCTCATGTAATGTGTGCTTGATAGGAGTGAAGAGTGAATGGACAGGCTGAAAACCATTCAGTTAGGAGACAGTGCAGGGGGTAAAGGAGTCCCAGGCCCCAGACTGGCCTCCCAGCTCAGGGACCTCCTATATCTGATCCTCCCTAAGCCGCTTTGCCTGCTAACCACAGAGATTTGCTTAAGTGACCTCTGGGTCAGTTCAGCAAGCATTTATTAAGCACCTGGAGCGTACAAGACCTTGGGCAAGTGTTGGGGATGCAAAGACAAGCCAGAGATTGTCCCAGGCCTCAAGGACTTAGTCTACTGGAGTATACAGTATTTTAAAAAGATAAGCTTATTATCACTGGAGTAGGGAGCAAGCATTAGTAGCCAAAATAGAGGCTCCGCTTCTTTCCAAGGAGGTGTTGGCAGCGCGGACAGACAGACCCCTGTACTAGTACCTACGAATAAGCAGCCCTCTCTTCTTGTCCCACCGTCACTAGAGATTCAGCAGCTTCACCACGTCCAGGATGTTAGAACTGGAAGGGGATTCTGAGACCACTTAGTGCAGAGTCTGGAAGACTCGAGTTCAAATCCAGCCTTAGACGCTTTCTAGCTCTGGGACCCTTGGCAAGCCACTTCACCTGTTTGCCTCTGTTTCCCCAACTATAAAAGGGAACAGTAACAGCACCTACCTCCTGGGATTGATACGGGGATGAAGTGAGGGAATGTCTGTGAAGCACTTTGCCAACTTTACAATGCTGTTACCACAGCTGACAATAACTCCTATTTCTGTCGTGCTTTGAAATGCACAAGATACTTTCCTCCTAACAGTCCCAGGGGTAGTTTGTTCTTCAGTTGTTTCAGTTGGGTCTGCCCCTTCGTGACTCCATTTGGGGTTTTCTTGGCAAAGATACTGGAGCGGTTTGCCATTTCCTTCTCCAGCTCATTTTACAGATAAGGAAAGTGAGGCAGGCAGAGGTTAAGTGACTTGCCCGGGGTCACACAGCTAGGCAGTGTCGGAGGCCAGATTCAAAGTCAGGTCTTTCTGACTCCAGGCCTGGCACTCTATCTACTGCACCAGCCAGCTGAAGCAGAATTCTCATTTGGATGGAGACACCGAGGCACAGAGTAGATAAGAGGCCAAAGTGAATGCCAGAGCAGCTGGGGTATCCCCAAGTACACCCAAATGGGGAGATAAAAGCTCTGACAGAAGGAAGACAGGGCAGCAGGGCCAGAAGCGAGCGGGGATTTCTGGTCACCAGCATCATAAGGCAGCACGAAGGCATCTTAGTGATGCTGGAATTCCGAGAGCCCTCTTGGAAATGGCTGTGTGCACTGGCCTGGGCGCCCGGGCAGTTGAGACCGACACCAGGCCTGGGGAACACCGAACAGGTTCAATACTCCCGTGGCCCCAGCATCAGACTGCCCTGGGGCTCTACTCACCATCCGTGGGGTCTTTCCCAGACAAACGCCTCCCTTCCTCCACCACTCCCCACAATGCCGGCTCTTCAAGGTAGAACCTAGCGCCCCGCAGGAGCTCCCACGACATCACACAAAGCCTCAGCGACCTCCACAGCGCACAGATGTCAGACCTCCCGTCTCTCCTCTCCATCTGCCTACCAGGCTTCTCACACTGGGCGACCTGTGGACACCCCCATTTCCACACGACCAAACCCTCCCCTCTTAGGAGCGTCCCTAGTACCTTTAAGGGGACCGCCGTCCTTCCAGTCACCCAGGTTTGCCACCTCATTGTACTCCCAGAACCCTCCCTCTCCTGTTCCCCATATCCAGTCACCAGGTGTTACCACTTTTACCTTTATAATCTCCCTTGCATGTGCTCCCAGACCATGACGCTGCCCACCCCTGGTGCAGGCCTTTATCGCCCCACGCTGGAGGATCGCAGGTGCTGCCAGCGGAATGGTTTCCCTGCCTCAAGTCTCCCCCCATCCCAATCCATCATGCACTCAGCTGTGCTCACTTCACACACCAGCAACGTCATGCTTAAGATTCTGCAAGCCAGCCTTCAGCAGCATGTGAACCGAGAATTACCAGAACCACAGAGGCAGAGAAACTAGAGACCACATCGCCAGCATTCTCTGGATTATGGAGAGAGCGAGGGGGTTCCAAAAACACATCTACCGATTAAGGCCTTTGACCAATCACAATAAATTGGGGTGAGTCCTCAAAG